AGTTTGAAGACTTCCTCTCTGTTGTACAGCTGCGATGTGAGTTTGAAGACTTCCTCTCTGTTGTACAGCTGCGATGTGAGTTTGAAGACTTCCTCGCTGCTGCTGACAAACAAACACACCAACCGAGGAGTTGTGTCATTTTTGTGTCGTCTTGGTAACGAACACGCTCTGCCTGCCTCTTAAAGGAGCCGCAACACAAACGCTCCTGTGAGTTCCTGGATGACTGTCGGTGTCAGTGCATGTTGACTTGTTCTTTTTTTGTGCAGGTCACAAGTCCCCGACCAATAGTATGCCATGTATGCCATAAAGATCTCCGGAGCAGAAAGCAATATGGCTCCTCTCCATGCAGGAGGAAATCTTATAAACAAAGTCACGTGTTACCTTGTGACCTACCTGCGTGTCATTGCCTTAAGGCTGGCATAAGTCACAGAACCATGACTTCTGTGGATTGATCTGTTGGTAATGCTCAAGTAACCCTCTCTCACCTGCTGCTGAGAGGCAGAATCACACAAACCACCACAAAACTGGAGGAGGAGGCGCCATCTCTGAGAGTTATCAAACCTTCCAACCCAATTGAGACAGGAGGTCTGTCTGGAAGCCAAATCCTCCATGGCCACTTTGGTCCCACCAAGAGGACCCTGTGATTTGACAATCTCACCATGTGAAGTGTGGGTATTATGAGCTGGATTTGAGGGAAATCATAAAGATGACCCCTTAGTCTGCACAAGGGAAACACACAGAGGACAATGGGTCATGTTTTCTGAGGTGAAGAGATCCACACATGCCTCTTCAAATACATGCCAAGTCCTCTAGGACTCCCCAGAAATGAATAAAAACATTTCCCTCTTATTCACACAGACACAAAGTCAGAGGTAGACTTTTCAACTTTATTTCTAAAAAGATGTTACATGCTTTTATTTAAAAATCAAAACTATTATTTACATGATAAATCTTAATAAATATGTTCTCCCTACTGGTGTTTGAGGGTTGAAACATATTTAGTAAGCAAAATAAGGAGGGGGGGGTGTCCACCTCTCTTTTGCCCACTTCAGGTGGCCAAACCCTAACTTCTAAAGGAAATATGGATTAGGCGTGTTAACAGAAGACAAACTGTAGACAAATGAAAAAAAACATAAACTTCCACCACAGTTTCTATATAATGATTCATTTAGAGTGCAGACTGATAATGTTTCCCAACAACTATTTCAGCTCCATTTGATCAGTTGAACTTTCAGCTTATTTTTTAATGAACTATGGAATAAATCTCCAGCAAAACCTGTGTAATAGAACACAATCATGGTGCATAGAACACAAAACTGTCCCCCAGTGATGGATAGTGGATACATTTAGGGTACCAAAAAGGAAAAAATATATTTCTATCTTTCCAATAATACAAAGGTTGTTGCTGTTGCAACCTTTATTTTGTGGGCAGAATTTACCCAATATAATTGATTCATGCCTCTGTGTTGGTGCTCTGCAACATCCAAGTATAAAATTATACCTTTTCTTTTTAAACTACAGTACAAAGTTAGCAAACTGTTTTGTCAAAATCAGAATCAAACAGCCAGTGTTAAAGTATTTATCAGACACGTTTGGCTAGAAAACAGGCCGATGGAGGATCTCAAAGCACAGGCAGATCCCAGTGGACGAGGCTGCAAGCAGCGCAATGTACCACAAACAGTGGTGGTGGTGGATGTACACGACATAAATAAGGACAAAGGGATCAAATGTGAAGAAAGGACATAAGGATATAAATGGAGAATCAGAAGAGAGTAAACCTGTTCCCAGACAAATCCTCTCCTTAACAATAACCATAAAAAGATGAAGTAGAGATTATTTTAACTTAGCAGGTTTTTAAGTCAGACACATGGTTCCAGGGTGGACAGATTTTTTATGAGGAGTGGAGGAAGCGGTTGAAGGCATTGTAGGCCGATTCCAGGTCAAACAGCATCTGGCGCACCTGATTATCATCCAATTCGTCTGAGGCCGACATGCTGCTGAGGGTGGTCAACCTGACGAGATGAGATCAAGAAAGATGGCAATTACGACAAAATGTATCTGTTGAACATAGTGAAGCTGAATTGTGGATTTAAAATGCAGGTTTGTCATGAAGCAGTGTGAGTGCAATGCTACTGCAGTGCAGAGATTTTAGCACCTGCAAGCAGTCATCAGGTCACACTGCTTTTCATAATACTTTTCAAGTTATTATGACAATTAACACTGTGCTCCAACATAAATAAATATGAATTTGTGAGTTTTCTTTTGGTGTGATGGTTGCCAGATTGAACTCCAACAAGAAATTCACAGAGGTCTGACACTGCTCAGCTGCACAATCAAAGGTGAACTCAGACTACCACTCACACTCACCTTTGAAATCTAATCAAATGCAATTAAACAGTTCAGCCATAAATTCTACCTTGAAAAGAAAAGTTTGATGGACACGTTCAGGCAGGTGTTTGTTTAACTTCATGTTTTCTAGTGAGGTTGCAGTTAACAGTGGTCTAATGTTTTACCCACTTCATTTCCTATTATGAAGTAAACATTTCACAACAATGGAGTACAAGAGCACCAGTAACTATGACCTCAGCAATTAAACATAAAGTCAAATAAACACCTATTGTAAAGTTTTGACAACATTATAAACCTTGCAAATGAAGAATACTTGTCAGAGCTGTTGTACTAGTAAGCATGTGTGTGTCACAGTGACTATATTTACATACAGTAGCATAGCACCCTGCACTGCATTGGCATTAAGCTTTACAACATAAATGCTGGGTGGTCCATTCTAACTGACCAGAGGCTGACTTTGTCCTTAGCCTCTGAGTCTGGAGGCATGTTGCTCATTCTGTTCATGGTTTCCATCAGCTCCCTCAGGTCTGGCTGGATCTGAACCAAAGGAAAAAGAAGTGTCAGGTATCAGCTTAAGTAGCCCGTGTGATGAGTCTGCCAACAGCCTGCACGTTTCCCTTTACCTCATCCATGGCCCTGATCTCCAGTCTCAGCTTGTCCATCACAGTGATGAAGAGCTAAAGGTTGGAGAACATGAGAGAAAGTGAAACACAATGAGAAAATGCTCAACATTTTTTCAAACTTAAACAATCAGCAAAAAGAAGAAATATTTTTTACTGTCAGCAACACAAACAGGGCACACAACCTTTCCTGGTAACAAATAATCTGTCCTCTGATTTTATTCGTTTGTCTGATTGTATGAGCTGAGTTAAAAGTTGGCAGTGGTCACAGCTGGCAACCGACCAGAGGATCAGCCAAATTAAATGAAAGCACTTCAGTAACTTGCTGCTAAATTGGAACAAAATAAATCATTCAAGCAAAGACACGACTGCAACAACCCTTATTCTGGAACACATCCAAAATAAGACTCTAACTGACTGTTTAATATGATGGAAGTAAGAGTGGACGTACAGAGACAATGTCTGCAATGCAGCGGTTCAGATTGCCCTTGTCATCTTTGATGGTGATTGGCCGATCCTCCTTAATCCTTTCCATGGCGAGTGGGCAGTCGAGCTAAGGAACAATATGACAAGCTCTGTACTCAGGTAACATCAGAGAATTAAAATGCATCTTAAAATATTGTGCAAATGGGATAAAAGCAATCTGCGCTCAGAACTCACTCGGTACTTCCGGCAGAAGTCATCAATGGAGCCCACGTCAGATCCCTGCACTTGTTTGAATGCAGCTTTATACTGAACCAAGAGTCTAGAACAGGAAGCTGTGTACCTGAAACAGAAAAATACACCATAAATAAAACTTATTATCAAAGTCATGAGTGGTATTCTGTCCGACTTGTTAAAACAACATGTTAAAAATAGGTATAACTTACTCATTAGGTGTGACACAGTCTTTGATGTAAGCCTTCTCCAAGGCCTGCAGGGTCTTGACGACAGCAAACAACTCTGCCATGTTATCAAACCTTAAGGAACACGATTAATAAAGAAGCGTTACAAAATTGTCAACATGAAGCCTTGGGTAGCAGTTTGTTCAGATTAGATAACTGGAAACATATTTCACACTTACTTCTCTCGTTCCCTTGCATTTTTGTATAATTTAACTTCCTGAAAAGATATGATTTGTGGTTAAAGACTTTCTCTGGCTAACGAGTGGAATATCTTGTAGAAATAACCTTATAAATGGTAGGTTAGATTAGAGTAAGAATAAAAACATATGAGTTTTTACCTCATATAACTCAGGTTTGTTGGCCGGAGCTGATGGAAAAAACAATGACATGTTTTTAGAATAATTTACTGTTGAAACGTTGATGCTTCTACAATCTGATACCTAAAACTGTAGCTATCAAACTTATTTGACTGTCTTACCTCCTCCTACAACTCCTGTCACTGGTATCCCGTGGAACATGATGCTGATGTTTTAAAATTGATCTGCAAAAAGAATAATGTTACTCTTTGTCAAATAAATGATTAATAATTTTGATTAATTCATTTTCTGGGAAAGTCAAATATCCCACCATGTATAAACAGGTTTTATTTTAAGCTTGGGCTGGGGGCAATTATCACTATTAGAATTGAATGTCAACAAGATACAAGGAGAGCAGAGTTTGACTGAAAAACTTGCAGCTTCAAGCAAAGCCACAAATAGTGTGAACTTTACTTTTTGGTATAATAGATTCTTTCTAACACCCTTGGGTCATTCTGTGTCAAATCTTCTCAATTTGGTGCCACACTGAAAACCATCCCCCTGTGACTCATATCAAAACAGATGTGGCCAAAGTCACCTCCAAAAGTTCCCAAATGTCCCCTAATTTTGATCTGAGGGAGAATTTAGGTTCCATGGGTAAAACCAAATCAGCGTATAAAATTCTATTAAGCTCTGTGTCTGTGTGGTGCAGAAGTGTGATGGTTGGACAGGGAAAGACCCAATTCATTCTCTGGTGAAACCCTCCACCAACATAGAAATGCGCATGAAAAAAGCAAGTTAAAAATCGAACACTTGCAATCAAATTTTGATAAATTCAGACGATTTTAAGCAAATAACCAAAACATTCCTCAGTTTGTCAGTTGAGAGGATGTGACACTGTTTTATTTATACTACTAACAATGTAGAGACACCACCCCGGACTCCAGGAAGTTAGGATTGGCATTTCTGACGGTTTAATAACATCAGTTACGCATTAATCGATTAGTTCAGAAAGTAATCATCAGAATAATCAATAACGAAAGTAATAATCAGTTCTTGCCTCATTCTCAACCTGCAGTTGTAAAGGTGTAAAACATGTATTCATTCATCGCTGTCATTCAGTCAAATAAACAGATCCACCGAGGATCTGAGGTAAATATACCCGCTGAACAAAGGTTACCAGGTCTCCAGTGTCCTGTTTTGTCGAACTAGCCTGAAGTTAGCTTCAGAGGCTAGCTCGTAAGCATTTCCTTTATGATTTATAGTAGCTCGGCCCCACAGTTAGCTGGACACCAGACTCTGTACTAGCGACTATTAACGCGGCAGGAGTTAGTAAACCCATTAGATATCAGTGTTCTTTCAGAATCAGTGATTAATAAGAGAAATTAAAAGACTCTTAGCTCACCCCCTCGACAAACTGCTGTGACGCGATGTAAACACTCCCTCATGCGAGGACCCCGGCACACGTCAAAATACTAGGTGTTCACTCTGCCTACCTAAAATAAACACTTTAAAAAAAAGAATCACATAAATGCGTTGAACGAAATTATATCATTTTAAGGCTTTTTGCACATCGTGTTTTTAATAGGGTGTTGCAGTAAATATACTTTTTAAAACAACGTTGTATCGTATTTTATGGTTTTCAGACAGTCAAACGTCATCGGCAGCCCGTCGCCGAGGCGCCAGACTCAAACAGACAGAATCGAGGACGCGCTTCAGAGCGAACAGAGAAGATCCGAGTTTTAAACTATTATTACGGAGCGAAGGGAAGCTGGAAACATCCACCTGCCACCTTCAGGTCAGCTCCAGCGTCATATGATATCATTTATGAGGAGAACCTAAACAATGGCGTGATGTTTGATCGTTGAACACCACCTAGCTACTTTTGAAGTTAGCTAACTGAGAGCTAGCACCGGTCTTTTTCACTCAGAACTATTATATAAGTGTGAATTGATCCTGATAAATCCTGCAGTGTGTTTTCATATGATTGTTTTGTTAATTTTAATCACTTTCTCTATTATTTAATTCACTCGATAGCTTTCATCCAGTCTCCACCATGAAGACCTCCAAGCCAGCTCGTAAGGCTGCTGCCCAAGAGGAGTGTGGTGTTTGGCTGGACACTGTGCAACTTAAAGGAAAAGCTAAACAGGTAAAAAAAAACCTGTGTAAGCTGTTTTAGAGATTCTGTTCAGACCTGATATTAGCATCTGAACACATGTGGACAGCTCTAAGTTCAGGTCTGGATGCACCAACATGTGTCCACAGATCCAATCACTCAAACCACATTCAGAGGTGGTCTGGGACACATGAAGTACTGCTTACTCAGCTGATCAACTCTAACCAGCTACAGATTCACAATGAATGAACAGTCTTACTCGTCTGATTTCCCTTACAATGATTTGTTTGTGGCCGCTATATCAACACTGATCACCATATGATGATAGAGACTTGTTTCAAATGGGTAAAATCTTTCCTCATAGTAGCTCTACACTGCCTTTTTCTCTCTCTTTCTCTGTCTTTATCTTTTAGCACTGTGCACTTGTGATTATATAACTCTATCAAAATTCTCTCATGATATTATTGCTCTTCAGTGTTTTACTAAGAACATACATCATTCTGCTCATCTTTCATTTCAGAAACGTCTTGCCCGTCGTCCCATTTCCAAACTGCTGAACCCCTTTGCTGAAGCTGGGGGATATAGTTTGGCTGTGGCTCTCAACTTCACCCAGACTAAAATGGAAATGCCAAAAACCAAACAGAGCTCTATATCAGCCTTCTTCACACCTCAACCCAGAGGTAAGTCATTGAGGAAGAAGGTGATAAAGCTGCAGTAGACCATTGACCTGCTTTGTGATAACTGAATGCTTGCTTTTTCCATCTACCAAACAGATCTTAATGAGAAGTCCGCCTCTGACAAACCAAACATGGATCCAATGCAGTCCTCCTCCTCAGCATCCACCTCAACTGCTCCTGTTGCATCAGGGACAAAACGAAGACGAGGAGCACATCTTGAAAACTCTGACTCTGAGCCTGGTGTGGATAAAGAGTGGGAAAGTGAAAATGTGACTGAGCCTGAGGAAACATTGTGGCTGGAGCAAGGTGAAACAGCCCTAACACAGAACTCGTACTGTCAGTCTGAGGAAGAGCAGCCCGAGGAGTTAAACCCACCTCAGAGTAAGAGGAGGTTCACTGACACCTCCTTTTTACCAGATGACAGTCAGCCTCTTCCACAGGCATGGAGCCAGGACCCACTGCTCACCTACAGCCAATATTCTGACAGTGAATCTTTCCTGAATAATCAGAAAAATACAACAGAAGAGAATTTTAGTGACTGTTTCCTAAACAGTCTAAAAAGTGAGGGCGACTTTGGATTGCAGATGGATCGGAAGGGAAAAACCTCGACTCAAAAATCCTTCAAAAATTCTTATTCTTCTCATTTGGAGGATGAGAAAGAAAACAGCAGGTATTTGTTTTCTAAGTCTCCTCGTAAGCACTCAACTTTCTCTCATATTGAACCTGTTTCAAATAATAAACGGACTGAAGCAAAAACTGCATCACCCCGAAAACACATCAGAGATCAACTGTGGAAAAGAACTGATGATGATGAGAGCAGCATCTCACAATTCAAGTGGACAAAACCAAGTAGTGCAAACTTTAAAAAACCAGCACGAAAGCAGCAAAGCAGCGAAGCTGATGAGGACAGTCTGTCCATGTTGTTTACCCAGGACTCTGAAGGCTTCAGGGTGATAGCACATAGAGTCAGGAGTCCACTCAAAGATCCAAGTAACTTCAGCACTGGGGTTGTGAGAACTAGTTCTTACAAGTCTTCAGTGGAGGAGGAGGAGATGCTCTTTACTCAAGACTCTCAGGGAAATATGGTGATTAAACACTGATGAGTGCATTTGAAACACCAGCAGTCTAACTGTATGTGCACATTTTTAATACTAAAAAGACTTTTCATGACTTTGCTCCTTTTCCAGTTTTTCATGTTGAAATTTGTTTCTGTGGTACTATATGTATTTTTTATATTTTTTAATCTGCATGACACTGAGATGTCCCACAAGGTGCAACTTCTTTTAGCAATTAGAAAATACAGTTTCTGAAGAAATTGCGGTGGCACTGCTGGCTTGAGCTGAAGCTAGTTATAATCTTGAGTTTAAAGTCAAGTATCAGTTTACATCCATGTCTCTCCAGATTATATGTAGCGAAGACTGTGAAGAACCAAATTAAATAAGTTGCATAAAAAGTGACCTATACTCTGCTGTGATGAATATCTGCTATAGTAATGCTTTTGATTTCAAAATAAATGTTCAAATCACACCAAGTCACATCCGATTATGCTTTAATTGAGGTTAACATTTTGACGTTTGAACACATTTTCTATGTTGTAGCATGGAGGAAAATCAACAAATCATCAATGGTAGAATACTATTATTACTAGAATAATAGAATACAAAAACTACAATGATAAAGAAAGTGGAAGTGAGTAGAAGAACATCCAATGAATAACATAAAAACCCAGAAGTGAGAGTTTTGATTTTATTTGAAAAATGAAACACAATTCCATCCAATCGTCATCATGTAAATTAAACATTTGAAAAGCATTTGTGGTGGACATCTTCCCTATGCTGGTGCCACATGTTGCATCTTAGTACAAAATAGAGTGATGTACACAGAGATAATGATGAAGTGTAACTGCTACTGTCTGTATTTTAAGTATTTAGATTAGTTGAATATTTATTTCATGTTATATGTTCATCTGGATGTTATTTTGCACCAGTGAAACAAGTGGCTTTTACACAAAATACACTGAACACTTCCATATAACTTGACTTAACTTGACTTAATGACTGCGCACGTTACATTTAAAGAGCACATTAAAATACACTTCGAAAAGTTATTGCAATGGCACAGAAATGTAAGAGGATGTAAATATACTGGTTATACTGGGTTTTTATGCCTCTGAAGTTCAATAGATTCGCAGGGACAGAAAGATACATGTATGTGTTTTTTAATTTGATGGTGGTGAAGATGACGAGGCTTCAGATCAGCCTGCGATCTCAGTGGGCTCTGTCACCAGTTTGGAGCCGCTCCAAACGGTCTTGAACTGCTCCGGCACTGGAAACTCCCTCTGTGAAACGACCGAGAAGAAGAACTTCAATTTAAAATGCACACTCAGAGGTCGATAGTCCTGCCTCTCGTTCTTTGTCTCAGACACTTACATAATCGTCATCTCCTGTAGGTACCAGGATGTTCATCTCAGAGCTCTTGGCGCTGACGATCTCACAGTTCAGGGAGTCCTTGCTCAGGTACACCTGGCAGCCCTCCGTCTTGTTGATGGAAAGAGTCGGGACTGTTCCCAACACCTGCAACGCAAAGAGAGATGAGTCTCAGCTACTGACATGTACTGTATCTGTGGCATAAACTGTTTAATCAATATATATTGTAACTATAATCAATTCCTCCATCTATACCACTTCTCCTTTAAGGGAACCAATCCCAGCCTTCTATTTAAAGTCTCCAATTGACGTAACTCCAGTTTGCATGTGTTTGGATGCAACTTTGTAAGTGAGTTTAATTAGAGGCTAAAATCTAAAAGTTAGTATGTGGTACCAGTATTGAATATGTAATAAAAGAGCCGTTATGTCCAATTTTCAGGCTCTTTAATATTCTGTCTTTTGAAGTCAAGGCTTTTACTTTTACTTCCACCAAGGAGGTTATGTTTTCATTGGCCTTTGTCGGTTTGTTTCTTTGCAGGATTATGCAAAAATAACTGAACAGATTTTCTTGAAATGATGTGGAAGGGTGTGGGCCAGAGAAGAACCCATGAAAGTTTGGGTTAGATTTAATTAATAGGGCAGGTCCAGATTTTTTTTCATTTTCTTTAATATTGCAAGATAAGGATTTTGTTTTTCTTTTCTTTTTTTACATTTCTGGGAATTTCTCAAGTGATCGTAATGAAAGAAAATGTATAGTTGTAAAATCTACAAACGGGAAATCAGAAGCAGTTTGCAGGAAGATGATGTGTACATGGTAAATGTATCCGATCTCAGTACAAGCTTATAAAATACGGCGATAACGTGGCCACTCAGCCTTGGCGGTGATATACGCTCTCCAGGCACCCTCCTAGTTATAAATGCTCCACTCACCTGTAACTGGATCGCCTTGGAGTTGATGATTTCCACAATCCCAACCACATTCTCAAAAACCAGACCCAGCTTCTTACAGTTGTCTGAGGAAACAAACCATGTGGAATAATGAGAATTATGATGAGTGAATATGAATATAAACTGACAAACATTTTTAGTTTGGAGGAATCTCACCTATGATGATGGAGTTAATTTTGCCTTTAATCTGCAGGGTGGAGTTATTGCAACCGAAGACGTAGGCCACTTGTTTCAGCTCCGTCTCCTCAATCAGCAGGTCGTGTTTCTGCTCAAAGTTTTCCTGCAACAACAGATTTAATCAAAAATCAGTGGTGTAATATTTAAAACGTGAGAAAATGGTATAAAACCCCTGAAAGATGACGTAATCATGTCACGCACCACCCTCCATTTCTTCCCCTCCAGCTCCAGGAGCGGGGGCCTTTTCTGGGCGGCTGCTTTCGATGAGGTCGCAGCCCCCGAGGATTTGGTTTTGGTCGGTGCAGCTTGAGAGCGCAGATTTGGGTTCTTGTGGGTCTTCTGGTCGTCTGATACACGCTTCAGACCTAGAGATATGGAGGAGATACATATTCACATGCAGGAAAATATAAAGGATTAAAAAAAAAAAGTATAATAATATCTATATTTCATTCCATGGTTAGATTTCTACCACCTCTACCACATAAGGTTAGTTTACCTGCACAGACACATGAGGGTTGAACGTGGTTTTATATCAAACAGCATCTAAGTGAAAAACGTGACATCCTCAGTTCTAATGCTCATTGTTTCCAGGTTATGTGAACTGACCTCTGGTGATGTCCATGCCCTGGTTGAGCTGAGCAAACAGAGCCGAGTGCTGTGCCGCCGCGCTGTCCACCTGAGACTGGGGGTCGTCGTCCGTGAAGACCGGAGGTGGGCCGGGGGGAGGAGGTGGAGGTGGCGGGGGGCAGGGAGCACTGGGGGCCTTGGGGGAGTTGAGGAGAGAGGGAGGAGCAATGGGGCCCTGGGGCATTAAAAAAAAAAAAAAAAGTTCCAACAACAATGTGGTGTGTGAGCAACAGGTGTTCTGAGGATAACAGCTGCAGTTATACACATGTCCAGCAGGAGGAGTATTGCTTAGGGAATGTGGGAGTGTGGGGGTCAGCATTGACCATGGGGTTCATGTGTGTGACTGAGAACATGTAGAACAAGAGAGAGGTTTAAAGACATTATCAGATGAGGAGGGGAACTTTTACTTCACTTAAAACTAATCTTATTCCTGTCAGCAGCAAACACACTGTTTTTCCTCTGTGCCACCAGCTCTGTGTTGAAGTTACGTGACGATAACCATGAATGAAATGCCCTTTCACATTATTCCATGCACATATTTCATGTGTTTGGAATCACCAGGATCTATAATGGATCTGAACAAAAGAGCTGAATCCATTAGTTGACTATGAATTATTGGCGTTTTATTCAAAAAAGCAAAATATTCTGTTTTTTTAAATGTAGGGATAAGCTGGGCTTCAGGGTTCATATTATTGTTAACTGAATTTATTTGAGTTGTTGACTGAAAAAAAACTTTTCGTCAATGAAATTATTTAAAAATCAAAACTAGTTTTTGTCTGAGCTGTTTGAGTTTATGTAATGAGGTTCATCAGGTCTCTAACTAGAGTCACCTGCAGTTTTTACACTGCTGAGTTAAATAAAAGTCATGTTAAAGGAGAAGTATACACACGCACACACACACACACACACCTATCAAAGGGGATCACAGGATTGAACTGTCACTTTAAACACTTATGAGTACAGCTGAGGCTACTTGACCTTTGACATGAAGCACATGTGTCGTACATATCATGGATGAACAATGCAGACCTGTTACACTAAACAGCTCAGCACATACCACTGGATTAACTGCATGTATGTGTGTGTGTGTGGTTGTGTGGTTGTGTGTGTGTGTATGCCTGTAAACATTTCTGACTGCTTCTTTGTTTTCATGTGTGCATTTGTGTGCACGTAGAAAAAGCACAGAGGAAATAGAAAAATAACCTTTTTGTTGAGGTGTTTTAAAAAAAAATTTGAACAGTATAAGTGGATTTTTCAAAACACAGAAATGTCTGAGTCTCTAGACGTTTAACGGGGATAATCCTGATCTGATTGTTTTTAATTTCAGTAAAGTTTAATGAAATATTTAACGTCTTTAAGTCTGTTCTGAGGAATTTATGTAATCTGGTCATTTTTGTGGGTAAATCCACCTCCATATGTCAGCCTGAGCATGTCAGAGTATGAGCGTGTCATTAAACCCCCCCCCCGATCTGAGCAGCAGATGACGGCTGAGCGGGGACCAGCCCTGCAGTTTAGGTTACGGCGCAGGCTGCGTGTGTACACAGGCTCTTTGTCGAGGGGGGGGTTCCTCTGTGAAGAAAACCTCCATTCAAGCAAACCCTGAGGACCACCTGTTAGCGCCACACACTCCCATCCTTGTACGCACATGTTCACTGTGTCGCTCATGCACACTGCAGGGGCGACAGCTGACACACACAGCCACTCGGGTTCTCAAGTTTCTGCAGAAAACACACATGTGAGCACAGTTGTTCACCATTATTCACGGTTCCGGCTTTAATCATTTCATGTTAAGTTCAGCAGGTTGAACTTTTTTGGCAGATGTGCAAAGATTGATTGCACTGATGTGTGTGGTGATGGTTAACACACAGCCAGAAGAGAGGTTAGCATAAAGCCTGGAAAACAGTGAATGATGATGTCTCCCCACAAATGAAGCCAAAACATCTCGACTGCTACCTCGTGTATGGCTGCAGTATATAAACCCACCTCCTCCATGTTAGTGGATGGAACATGCACTATGACTTCATGTCTGGGTTTTAAGACGCCAACATGCAACACAGCCAGGTTCCCCTGAGTGAATAAAGACAAGAAAAAGACTCTCGTATCTGACAAGAGGAGGAGGTCAAGTGTGCCTGGAGGGATTTGGTTTCGAGTTGTCGTCGTAATCTCTGGGATCCAGCGAGTGTGAGAGCAGAGACATCCATAAACAGAAGTGAGTGTGGGAGTGACAGGGGATTCGTGAGCCCTGCGGAGAACCGCGGGGTGCAGCCACCGAGGAGAAGCTCGTTTATTCATTCATGCTCTCTGCAGCGGTTTATGTAACCGGTCGCTCCATAACTAAAAATGGAAATGCACGCAAAAAAAGTAGTCCATTTGAGCTCTGATATAAAAATACCACAGCCTGTGAATGGAAACTTAATGAAAACACTGCGAAGATAATAAACAAGCGGCTTTTGGAGCGATTTCTTGTTTTCAGTCTGATGTGTTAGATACGATGGAACCTGAAGGAGCAAGTGCAAACATACATCACATTTTCAGTCTTATTCTTTAGGAGAATGTGGTGTGAAATTGTAAAACTAATTTAGTATTAATGATAAATGTAGGTGTTTGATTTGAAAACTTAATTGAACACAGAAAATACTTATGCTTCTGTACTCACGATCTTGCTCCACACCAGGCCTGTGGTGTGGTGCTGTTTGATGAACGCCTGCATCTCGGTCCAGATCGACAGGTAGGAGCGCACCCAGTCCACATGGCGTCTGTCGCTGGGGGAGCAGGGGGAGGGTTGTTGGAGGGAGGAGGTGGGGGAGATAAATATATGATATTCAGATGAAAACTGGAACACTGATAAGAGTGATACGCATTGCTTACCGCCTCACCAGATTCATGTGAGTCTGATTATAGTTGAGTTCAAAATAAAAAAAATTATATTTATATCTTTCCCTGTCCGTTTGCAGGATTACGCAAACATCACGAGATTTATTTTTTCAATTTTTTAATAAAAATAATAATTCATGGAAGGTTATATACGAGTGAAATTTGGTGCACTTTGATTGGATTTAAGGATAAGGACTGTTGGGCCTTGGTGGAGGTGTGAGCTCTACTATTCTAGTTTGTTCTTTTGTTCCTCATCTTGCAGACACAGGAGACTCTAGTTCTCCAGTAACAGTATGGACAGTTTCTTAATTCACATGTTATATTTCTTCTGCTAAATGCTGTTTTTTAGTCTGTTGATTTTTACATTGTCAGAATAAAGACTGCTCTGGGTCATCTGATTCAAACAAATAAAAAACAGATATCACCCTGGTGACATGTGCATCATGATGCTTGTGAACATGGACTCACGTTTCCTTGTAGTCCTTCAGCACTCTGTTGGTGTAGAAGGTGGCGGCGTCGTTCATCTCCTTCACGTAGGGACCCGGCTTCTGACACTGAGAGAGACGAGAGAAAAGGGCTCATCTCACCGACACACAAACACTGTGAGGCCTTTATCTGTTCATCATTACACAGAAAAAGAGAGGAGCATCTTGTACTTAAAGGTCTGAGACGGACATGTTTAATAAGCACTGTGTGGAAAAGTGAGCTCCTGACAGCAACGTACACTGACCAGAGCCAGAGCTGAAGATTTTTATTGAAGAGGTGAAGAGGAGAGATTCTGATCTTTATCTAAATGATATTCATTCCAGAAGTCAGCGGGAGAGAGGAACAGAAACTCAGTGTGGAAGGGAGGAGTTTATCTATAGCTCTGTCTCTTAGTATATGTTAAATGTTAAACTTTTAGTGTTTGAGTTGAGATTTTAAATAGTTATACCTGATGTTTCCACTTGTATTTCTGGTTTATTTTTTTCTGATAATCAGTATTTTTCATGAGTGGTTAGTTGTACATTTTGCACTGTCTTTGTGTTCATCAGGATTGTGTCATTCCTCACCACAGCGACCCAGCCCAGCGCGGGGATGCTCTCGCTGACGGCTGACAGGTGGTTGAAGAGGCTGCTGCCGCGGTTCCGTTCCCTGAAGTTCTGGATCTCCTGGATGTGATCTGAAATTGGCTTCATCAGGTCGTGAAGCTCCGTCTGCAAAAGAAGGAAGGAGTCAGGAACAGGAGGACGCAGGAGACAAGGAAGAGATTCCGGTGACAGAGGATGGAATGTGAAGGAGGGAGGATCGGGATTGGGAGTGTGAGTCCTACAAACGTCATGTTACATTTGAATCAAATCATAAATAAACCTGATGGCAAGAGAACCACAGAAATCCTTCTTATGCCTCTTTTAAATACATCATTCATAGATGTTTGAGATACTTTTGATTTTACATCCCTGCGTCGTTTACCCTGCTCCCAGCTCCATGCAACCAGTAATTCCTAAACTAGGCTACGGGACAGTCACTCATTTTATTAGCCAGAGCCTTTTTCCAGTGGATCTTCCAGATCTCAGCCACAGTACGGTTCAGCTCCCAGCTCCCCCCCTCATCACTCTGTCCCTGCAAACATTCCTCGGTTCATGGGGAGATCCCTCTGGCCTTGTAAGGCATACCGCTCCACCAGTGTTTACAGTTTACCTATCACACATATACTCACATACACACGTGCACACATGCGCACACACACACACACGCGCACACACACACACATAAATCCAGGAACACAGTGTTTCATTGGAAAATTGTTGCAGCAGCTTTCTGTGTTTTCTGTGGAGCATTAACAGGCAATGAGCTGTGACAAAATAGTTTCTTAACAATGTTTGTGTATATATTTGTTTAATAAACGTAAATGTATGGGTTTTAAAGAAAAATGCATAATACGTCTGCCTCTGTAAATATATTCTTATGTGCAGAGACGCAGGAGAAACTTTCCTTGTTTTCCAACAGATTCTTCCCTCAATCAGATGCACATGATCTCCATAAGCTGGAATAGATGGGCCTTTCTCTGCTTGTCCAGCTGCTTTTATTATTACTAAATCCAGCTAATGTCTATGAGGCAGTGTGTGTGAAACTCGTGGGTAGTAAAACCCTTATATACAAGTTAAAATCATGCAATTATAAACTTAATGTAAAGTAGAGGTATTGGTAGAAAGTCTACTGCAAACGTTATGCACAACTGCCCATTTACATCATATATCATTATGTGTAGTTACATACAAAGATTTCACAACTCCTTCAAATACAAACTTTACTGCCCTACAGCAAATTTTATCTACATAGTTATATGAGGGTGACCTTTGACCTCTAAAATCAGTGCATCTTTTAGTCCAATTGATTTCTGTGTATTCTGTGCGTCAGTGCCGTGGTCAAAGTGTTGACTTCCCAGTCATTTAGTCGAACTATGCAGTGAACAAAACGACAGAAATAATCGGAGAATGACTGGAGGGTGCACAGAGGACTTATTTAAAAAAGGAAAAACATAGGCCATATTCCCACAGGCTCAGCAACTGAAATGTTCTAGTAGAGCAGGCATCAAGTCAGGGCTGCAGCCAAGCGTCAATTTTCCATGGAAGACCCTTCAGTAACTTGTCAGTTCTGAGGAACTATTCACATTGATGATGGTGTTGGAAGGAAGAGAAGCAGCATTAATTGTATCATTAGAAAACAAAAACAAGCTGACATGTCATGAACATGTTATTTCATCATTCAATCAAATATCAATCAGTGCTAGTTCAAAAAGAATTTGCACAAACATCAGTGTGAAAACAAAAATGACAGAAACCATCTTTGAGATAAAATGATTGTCAAAGAAAGGGACCTCGCCACCACAGCCGCATTCCCCGATTGTTACTGCGCAGACTCTGGCTCTAAATGCACAAGATGGCGCCGTTCATGAACGCAGACAGAGAATGAGCCGACCAAAGGGATCAAAAGTGGCGTATACTGTTTTTTTTTTGATGGGCAGTGAGTGAGCTCAGCGTGTTAACAAAAGCACATCAGTGTCTGAGGCCTTGGCTTCATATACAAGCACTGGATCAAAGTTTGAGAGGAGAGGACAACAATGGAGCTGTAGGAGGGGTTTTAACACAATGTGGACACACACACACAAACGCACACACACGCACACACACACGCACACACACACACGCACACACACACACGCACACACACACGCACACACACGCACACACTAACTGAGTTAACAGTCCAATCTGAGGTCACATGAGAGTGAGAAAGCAAAAAAAGTAAGGCTCTCTCGATTTCTCTTTGTCTCACACTCTATCTAGCTGTAACACACACACACACACACACACACACACACACACACACACACACACACTGACAACAGGCTCAAATATAGAACATGCCCATAAAAAGTCAGAGAGCACAACAGTGCTGCACTGGAGAGAAGGGCCAGACGTTTGAGAGCTGTGTGTGTGTGTGTGTGGACAGGGACAGGGGGGTGCACTGGCAAGAGTCAAATACACTTTTCTTCCTCTGAACCTGATTGAGGAATACAGATTTAGACATTGATGAGGGATATCAGCAGACGTGTGTGTGTGTGTGATGGTTTGTACTGGGGGGGGG